CCTTGTTGATGTCACAATCAGGAGATGTAACGTTAGTCTTTCCTCTTTTTGGCGCTGGGCTTTTAGCTGGGGTGCACGGTTTTTCAAAAATTATTTCACATTTTGCGGAAAGAGACTGAATGGCAGCCATAACCTTGTTGATGTCACAATCAGGAGATGTAACGTTAGTCTTTCCTCTTTTTGGCGCTGGGCTTTTAGCGGGGGTGCACGGTAGTGGAGTTGCCAGAGATTTCGCTGGATCGACAGTGTCAGCTGAGTCACTGGTTAAATCTGTCAGCAGCATTGCATCATCAGGATACGGGGCGAATAGTTGGGATGGCAAGATATTTTAATTTTTCTCCATGCTCGCCTCGGAGTGATGTTTTGCTTTGCGTTTGCCCATATGACCGAGTTTTCAGACAAAGTTAATATTAGTCCTTATTGCATGCAAATCTCGATGATGTCTGAGGATTAAGAGCGCAGCACGTCTGCTCGGAACAGCGCCATCTTGGCCCCTCGACTTCTCACGACCACTGATCTATAATAGAGAACTGGATTGCTCATGACGTCATGAAAGTGAAGCCGCCGCGCCGCCATATTGGTATTCCCCAGTATTCCCATACATTCCCATTGAATTAATAGGAAAGTGTACGAATTTAATGAGAAAACATCACCTAACAAGTCCGCATTTTTAAATCTGAAGTATCCCTGTACATTCTTACAATGCAAAGCTCAATCAGGACATTAAAAATATACACATCATAATTTATTCAGAGAAATAACTGACATACATTATGGACTTAAAGACATGCATGTAAGACATGGCAAGTTAAGCTTTTCATTTCAGTACAATCAATATAGTAACAGAGGCTATTGTATTATTCATTATATATTCAAATCAATTTCTGATACTAATACGTTCATGCTTAATAATTCCTGAATAATTACGTACATAAAGAAATAGGCTATATTTTGTATTGGATCACTTACCTGTGTCGGCACACCCACCTTAACAATTTAAATATATGGCTAATCCTGCCCAAAAAGACCATAAACACTGCAGATAACATCTGAAGTAAAACTGAATTTACATACACCTAACATACAATCTAATCCCTTGTGACTGACTCGCTTCAAATCGGGTGATTTTAGGTCAGTGTTTTAGCTGTGACTCAATGGTGCTCTCTGCCGGTAGGGAATAGTAAGATGGCGGCTCGTACACTTCCGGTGGCTTCACTGCCTGTCGGCAGTTTAGAACGCAATGAGCAATTCAGTCATTGGCTGCATCCGAAAACTGAAAAATGCTGACTTCGGAGGATGCATTCCAAGGTAGGAAGGCATCAAGGCACGTCCGAATTCAATTTAGCTTCAGTTCCTGTCTCCCTGAGATGCCTTGATCTGGCTGATTTTTGAAAGCAGTGTAAGGTCCACGCACTTGGGCCAAGGAAGGTATCCAGTGGTGGATGAAGGTTTCTTGCGTGTTCGGTCTTTTCAGCGCGCAGAGTTATTCAATTTAGGTTTAACTCAAATCTGACTCCAATTTAGTATCTAATCTGACTCCATTTTTCATATGTGAGAGACGTTTTCCCGCATTTTCTCTCAGTGAGATGCGGAAACAGATGTCTGTATGTTAATGCACTGTGTGTGTATTGTCTGTCTCAGAAGATCAAAGTATCTGAGTTTCTTTTATCCTTACAGCAGCATAGATGTATCCTTCGCTGCCTTTGATAGCCCACAATCCTGTGCGTTCCTTTCTGTGACAGTTATGCTAAAAAATAAAGATGGTGTCTGAAAGTTGTGGTCGGTGGTCTGGTCAGTTTGTGTGTAAATGTAAGTTTTTGATTTACGTTTTCCACTTTTGATGTTATTTCTAGCGAGAAATTAATATTGCAGTAATGAAATATTCACTTAGTTATCACCAAAGCTCTCTATATTTTGCTGTAGATCATTAAACCGTTACGCTGACTCAAAAGCCTGTCTGAAATCAGTTTCATGAGGTGCCTTCGTGCAAAAACGCTGCCTGCAAAGTCATTGCCTCATACGGCAGCGAGGCAGCAAGTCAGCTGCCTAAGTTTTCGGATGCAGCCATTATATATAGATCAGTGGTTACGACACTGGCTTCCATAGGAACTGAGGAATGCGGAAGTAAAGCGTGTCATGGAGCAGCCAATAGTTCCAAACAACCAATAGTTCCTGTATTGAAGCCCATTCATTTCAGTGCTTCTCAAGCACATTCGCCAGAAATTTTAGGAAATTACAGCAGTTTTTGGCATTTTAACACATTAGTTTACCACTCGGAAATCTGGCCAGTAGTTGTATTTTATGAAACGCGTTATAGTTAATGTTTAGTTTTAGATAATAGGCAGTTATGCTATATTTGCAGTTAGATAACGTTTCTCACTGGCTCTGTCTGAACCGAATCATTCGTCAAAGCGCAATGGATTGTGGGTAATATTAGCCATTAGAGTGTGCACGGATCCACACTTCAAAAATCTACCTGAAATAGTAGACCATCCGGGGACACACTTTGCCAATCCCATGCTTTGGGACACACTTATTTTAATCTCACATACTATGTAGGATGGATAGTATGAACATTGGGACGCAGGGCTGTTTTCTTATTGTTCTTCTTTGAGGTTCTTGCATCCAAGAGCGTTGCATTACCGCCATCTTTGATCTGGATTATTCTCCTGCGATGTCATTCGAGTTTATTTCCTCCAGTTTTTTTTCCGTGATCATATTCTCCTCATCAGACCCGTTCTAACCGAGATCTGTTTTTATTATTGTGCGACGGTTTGTAGATGCCCAAGCTGCCGACGAGTCAGGTATGTTTTCTCCTGTCCCGATGTGAGCGTTATGGAGAGTTGCCCGCACCAATATGGCGGCGACGTTGACATTGACGTGCGGTCGAGCGGCCAATGAGGCGTCTAGGTATTTATTAAAGGCAGAGTAAGCGATTTCTGGTAGCCAATGTTGATATTTGAAATTCTTGCGGAGAACTCTGCTCATATTTTCTGCATAATGATGCATTTAAAAGTTAACGACCAAATGGATGTTTAAAAAAGTTCACATTGCTGTTACAGATGAAATATAACATGGATAACAATAAATAAATATTTTTTTACCAGGTTAAATGTTGATTATTAGTAAAAGTAACTCAAACCCCTTTTTGTAAGTTCTCTACCTAACCGTCGATCGGTCGCATCCGCCACGTTTGTAGTTTTTCTAACGCGTTTTATTCGTGTTTGTAGTTCTGGACCGAATCCTTCGCCAAAGCGCAATGGATTGTGGGCAATTTTAGCCATTAGTGTGCACGGATATACACTTCAAAAATAGACCTGAAATATCCGGGGACTTTTGGCATCCTCTTTTCAACATTCTATGCTTTGGGACACGCTTATTCTAATCTCACATACTATTTAGGATGGATAGTATGAACATTGAGACGCAGGGTATGTCTATGATTAGAAGAAGAATAAGAGGAGGCGGTAATGCACTTATAAGTCTGCGATCCGCCGTAGAAGAAGAAGAAGAAGAAGAAGTAGAAGAAGAATGAACACGTCCCCTGCAGTCCTATGAGCGAATCTGTCTCTAGTGTCGTTAGTAACGGAGTGACGCTGTCCTGTTTCCAAGCGCAACCCAGAAGCACAACAAGGCTCTTCTCGCTAACGTTCATTGCAAATCTTCCAGTCCTTCACATCATTCCCATTCTATTTTCATGACAGTGCCTTTTGATATTCGAACCTTATGTTAACGCTCTATATTTAATTCTGGTGACGTTTATTTTTCTTCTTGCCACGTTAAAACTCTTGCATCACCCTGCTGTAATGGTAAGTAGCTTAGCCAGCTAGCATTAGCTGGATGAAAATTAGAGAATAAATCATGCATGTCGCTTTATTTTACCAGTTTATTCAACTCTTTTTATTTCTGAGCAATAAACTCTCTAATCTCTAAAATAAGCAATTTAAAGAGGGGACTTTAAGGGAAGACTTGCTAGATCTATAAGATGACGTCTGGTTGTAACGTTATTAGGCCATCAATACCATTATTTATCTATTTATTCAGTTGTTTACTTGATATTCTATTATTATTATTATTATCATCATCATTGTTCTTTGTTGTATGTTACAATTTTTTGATGTTCTGTTTATTGTATTTGTATTTGTTGATTCATTGGTTGATTCATTAAAAATTGCCACAAGTAATATCAAATCATTATAATTTCATCATCATAATTATAAAATCATCATTATTTTTGCAGATCAAACAGTAATCACTCCCCTATACTATCATTATTGATATAATTAATCAGTTAAAGTGTTTTTCGTTTTAATTAAACACTGCATTAATAAGATACGCCATATAGACACTAATAACTAATAATAATAATAATAATAAAAACTAAAACTATAAACATATAATAAATAACTATTTTCTGTACTTAAAATGACTGCATGAATTGGAAAATTCACTTAATTCCTATCTTTTTCCTATCACTTGCCATTTGAGTGTTTGATATAAGGTTATTTAACTGTATACATATAACTTTGTTTAACATCTTTAAACCAGACATGAAAGTCAACTTCGAAGTTGTAGTGTGAACTTGTGTTACTTAGTGTGAATGAAATTCTTATAGTTGTCAGTACAGAAGTTTGGTGTTAAAGTGTCATGTAGCCAGAAGGAGGTGCTGTTTCTCTGTAGTATATTTTTTGCTACAAAATTTGTCTTTAAAACCTAGATTGCCATTAAATGTAATATTCTTTGCCTTTACCTACAGGCTGATTTTGGGTTTAATGAGCATCATCAGAATGAGGTGATAAACTACATGCGCTTTGCCCGCTCTAAACGGGCACTGAGACTAAAGACAATTGACTCCTGCTTCCAAGACCTGAAAGACAGTAGGTGAGGGACTGCAACCTATGTCTAGGGGTGCTCCGATTGATCGGCTACCGATCACTATCGGCCGATAATCACTTTGGGATGATTGATCGGCGATCTCTAAAAAGGCCGGAAATATCCGGGGACTTTTGGCATCCTCTTTTCAACATTCTATGCTTTGGGACACGCTTATTCTAATCTCACATACTATTTAGGATGGATAGTATGAACATTGAGACGCAGGGTATGTCTATGATTAGAAGAAGAATAAGAGGAGGCGGTAATGCACTTATAAGTCTGCGATCCGCCGTAGAAGAAGAAGAAGAAGAAGAAGTAGAAGAAGAATGAACACGTCCCCTGCAGTCCTATGAGCGAATCTGTCTCTAGTGTCGTTAGTAACGGAGTGACGCTGTCCTGTTTCCAAGCGCAACCCAGAAGCACAACAAGGCTCTTCTCGCTAACGTTCATTGCAAATCTTCCAGTCCTTCACATCATTCCCATTCTATTTTCATGACAGTGCCTTTTGATATTCGAACCTTATGTTAACGCTCTATATTTAATTCTGGTGACGTTTATTTTTCTTCTTGCCACGTTAAAACTCTTGCATCACCCTGCTGTAATGGTAAGTAGCTTAGCCAGCTAGCATTAGCTGGATGAAAATTAGAGAATAAATCATGCATGTCGCTTTATTTTACCAGTTTATTCAACTCTTTTTATTTCTGAGCAATAAACTCTCTAATCTCTAAAATAAGCAATTTAAAGAGGGGACTTTAAGGGAAGACTTGCTAGATCTATAAGATGACGTCTGGTTGTAACGTTATTAGGCCATCAATACCATTATTTATCTATTTATTCAGTTGTTTACTTGATATTCTATTATTATTATTATTATCATCATCATTGTTCTTTGTTGTATGTTACAATTTTTTGATGTTCTGTTTATTGTATTTGTATTTGTTGATTCATTGGTTGATTCATTAAAAATTGCCACAAGTAATATCAAATCATTATAATTTCATCATCATAATTATAAAATCATCATTATTTTTGCAGATCAAACAGTAATCACTCCCCTATACTATCATTATTGATATAATTAATCAGTTAAAGTGTTTTTCGTTTTAATTAAACACTGCATTAATAAGATACGCCATATAGACACTAATAACTAATAATAATAATAATAATAAAAACTAAAACTATAAACATATAATAAATAACTATTTTCTGTACTTAAAATGACTGCATGAATTGGAAAATTCACTTAATTCCTATCTTTTTCCTATCACTTGCCATTTGAGTGTTTGATATAAGGTTATTTAACTGTATACATATAACTTTGTTTAACATCTTTAAACCAGACATGAAAGTCAACTTCGAAGTTGTAGTGTGAACTTGTGTTACTTAGTGTGAATGAAATTCTTATAGTTGTCAGTACAGAAGTTTGGTGTTAAAGTGTCATGTAGCCAGAAGGAGGTGCTGTTTCTCTGTAGTATATTTTTTGCTACAAAATTTGTCTTTAAAACCTAGATTGCCATTAAATGTAATATTCTTTGCCTTTACCTACAGGCTGATTTTGGGTTTAATGAGCATCATCAGAATGAGGTGATAAACTACATGCGCTTTGCCCGCTCTAAACGGGCACTGAGACTAAAGACAATTGACTCCTGCTTCCAAGACCTGAAAGACAGTAGGTGAGGGACTGCAACCTATGTCTAGGGGTGCTCCGATTGATCGGCTACCGATCACTATCGGCCGATAATCACTTTGGGATGATTGATCGGCGATCTCTAAAAAGGCCGATCTCAAAAAACCGATCGCAAGCTGATGACGCGCCTGCAGTGAGAAGGTTTGGCACGACATGCAGCGCGGCACCGTCTCAGTCTCTGTCCGACGCGGGTGAAATAATTATAATGCTGAAGGTGAGGTATAAGGTATAAGGTGAGGTGAAGGTGACCTTCATATTTCTTAATTAAATAACTTATAAAGTAATTTGAAAACCTTGTGTGAGACGTAATTTCACAAACAGCGTGAGTGAATCACCGCGCGCGCTCTCTCTCAAAATACACAAATGTCTTCAAATCACCACGTCGCGTCTATCTATAAGCGAGCTGCACGCACGCTGTACAGTTGACACAGGAATTATCACTTGCACAATCGAGGCAGTGTCACATCGTCATCGTAAAGTTTATAAATTGCATTTCTTTTTAATTCTTGCCAGTGTTTAACCATTCAGCGCTCGCGCGCTCTCCTGAAGACCGTGCGCTCATGCAC